CATTTACTAAATCACGTTGTTAGCATAAACTATCTGGTAAGGCCAAAAGCCCCATGTATATAAAGATGATCTTATTAGGTGGGATATTCTAAACGCTTGGAGCTTATCTCCTAGGAGCCAGGCAAAGGCTAGTCTTTGGCAAGTGCAGGGTTTGAGCATCCTAAGCCCGCTAAGTTAACTCTTTACTGCCCAATAAAAGAGTATTATAAACAACTTTATGCCAATGCATTGAAAAGCTTAGATAAAATGGACAAGTATCTTGAGAGTAAAAACACCAAAGTCATGAAGATTATGTGAACAGCCCTGTATCTATTAAAGTTATTAAATTTGAAGTTAAAAACTTTCCCACAAAGGAAACTCCAAATGACTTCACTGGTAAATTCTATCAAGTATATAATGAATATTAGTGGCACACAGTTGGCCAAAAAATTTGAGAGACTATTTCTGAACTCATTGTGTCAGAATATTACCCTGATCCCAAATCAGACAAAGACTTTACAAAAAACAGAACTACAGACAGATGTCCCTCATGAACCTATGTAGAATTTCTAAGTAAAATATATTAACAATTAAATCCAACATATAAAAAGGATAATATATCACGTCTAAATGGAGTTTATCCCAGAAATACAAGATTAGTGTAACACTGGCCACTCAATGCAATTGACTATATTAACAATCTGAAAGAGAAAAATCATATGACCATCTCAATAGACTCCGAAAAAGCATGCATCAAAATCCACTATCCATTCTGAGAAAGGTTCTCAGAAAACTAGAACCAGAAAGGAATTTCATTAGCTGTTAAAAGGCATTAATGAAAACCTAAAGTTGACATCATGCTTAATGGTGAAAGGCTTCATGTTTTTTCCCTTGTGATCAGAATCAAGTCAGGGTATACAACCTCGCTTTTTTTAATTCCACATTTTACTGGTGGGTCTAGTCAGTGCAATAAGGCAAAAAAGGAAATAAAAAGCAAAGCAACCACATTAGAAAACAAGATGTAAAACTGTTTATTTGCAGACATGACTGTCTATGCAGACAATCCAATGAAATCCACCAAAAAATGCTATTACAACTAATAAATGTGTTTATTGTGGTTAGAGGATATAAGATCAATGAGTCCATTTTATTTCTATATTGTCTTAGCTCATTTGACTACTATAACAAAATACCTTAGACTAGGTAATTTAAAAATAACAGAAATTTATTGTTCGGTTCTAGAGGCTGGGGAGTCCAAGGCTGAGGTGTTTGCAGATTTGGTGTCTGGTAACGGTTTGCTCTCTGCTTCATAGATGGAATCTTGTTGCTGCATATTCACATAGAAGGGGCAAGCCGACTCCCTCAAACTTCTTTTATAAGGACACTAATCCCATACATGACAGTCCTGACCTCATGATCAAATTACTTCCTAAAGGCCTCACCTCTTAATACTGTTACATGAAGATTAAGTTCCAGAATATGAATCTTGTGAGGTATACCAAAATTAAGACTGTAGCAGGTATAAATAATTAAAAATTGAAATTAAAAATAACACTGTAATAGCATCGTGTTATTAGCTATGTAAAATAAATCTGACGGGTGTGCAAGACTTATTGAGAGCCCAGAGCTAAACTGGGGTTGTAGTACCATAGCAACCCTAATCTTACAGGAAATGAAGGGGAACTAGATATGGGTGTTTCCAGAGTGCCTTTCATGGGATACTTCTTTTACCTGGTGGTCATCCTAGTTGTCTGACCCACAACCAGGGGGTCCCTCACAGGGGGATCTTGTTTATACTGGCAGACACCCCTGTGGCTCTTGTCTGACCCACATCCACTCTATGCCTTTCTGACCACTGCTCTGGCACTGGGAGTCCAACCTGTGTTTCTCCAGGGCAAAACTTGGTCTGGGGTAGGCCCATGTTCTCCAGATGGAAGGCACAAATTCAATACACAACCACAATAGGAAGTAAGTTCAAAGATTTTTATTTACAGATCCTGGGTAAGGAAGGCATAAGGGTCAGAAAGGCAGTCCTATATCCCCAAGACGTAGGTAGAAATGAAGAGTCAGGCAAAGGAGCAGGGACAGGAAAGGAAGAGAGGCAACTGGCAGTATATAAAAGGGAATTGGATGGGTCACTTTACACTCGAGGATAAATGCTGGTAAAGCAGGGAGCTCAGTCTGTAGACGGAAGAGATGAGAAACTTTAATTAGTGCTGTAAAAGTTATAAAGAACATAGAAGTAGGCGGGTGCTACTTAGATAGGGTGGTCATAGAACGTCTATGTGAGTATTCTAGGCCAAAACGTAAAGAAGCAGGAAGAATCGGCCAGACAAGGGAAAGATAATAATTAAAGAACAGCATTTGGGAAAGCCCTGGGTAGGTAGTAGAGGGTAGTAGAAAAGAAAGTCTGGTGTATTCCAAAACCCCAACGAATGCCAATTTGGCTGGATTATAGGGAGTGCAGAGTAAAGGGAAAGACAGCCTAATGATCACATAAGAGATGTAGACAGGGGTGATATCATGTAGGATCATGCGGAACAGATTTTATTCAAAGTGTGCTGGGAAGGCATTTTACCAGCTTTGACCAGGCTACAGACACAATTAGTCTTCATTTTTACTCTAGTCGCTCTGATGCAGAATCAGCTGGAGATTATTGTCTAAATTGTCATAGGTGGTCCCCTTCCATAAACACATAAAGATGCTAAATACTGTATAACATGTTATTTATGTAAACAAAAAATATATATCACAGAGCCTAAAAGAAAGCAAAGAAAATGTAGAAAGGGGGAGTCTCTACCTAGATACAGTCCTGGGGATTGGGATTCCTACACATAATTTGAAGACAAGATTGCTGAAATGAAGCTGAGAGTCTAAAAAAGATAGACCATGTGATCACAGAGGATTAGAAAAACTCCAGGCACAGTGGCTCATGCCTGTGATCCCAGCAAGTGGGAGGCCCAGCTGGGCAGACCGCTTGAGCTCAGGAGTTGGAGACCAGCCTGAGCAACATGGCAAAATCTCATCTCTACAAAAATATATATATATATATATATAAAAGTTATCCATGCATGGTAGTGGGCACCTATAGCCCCAGCTACTCCGGAGACAAAGAAATGGGAGGATCGCTTGAGTCCTGGAGACAGGTTGCAGTGAGCCAAGATCACACCACTGCACTCCAGCCTAGGTAACAGGGTGAGACCTTGTCTTTAAAACAAAACAAACAAACAAAAAAAACACAAAACCTTAAGACTGTTGCTTTGGGAAAGCAGTAAGGAAGCTTGCTATCTGTGAGTAATATTACTATTATTGTTTTTTGTTTACATAAAAACATATAACATGTTTTTATTTACATAATCAAAAAATACATCACAGATCTTAAATGAAAGCTACAGAGGTAGAAAGGGGGATTCTAACTAAATATAGATCCTAGGGATTGGGTCTCCTTCACTTATTTGAAGACAAGATTGTTGAAAATAAAGTTGTGTATAATTTGTATATAAATAAAGACAATTAAAAAATACTGAGACCTGAGTCCTGTATCATATATGGGGGTGGAACCCAAGAACCAAATTTACAGTAGAAGCTGAAAAAATTACCTTAAATCTGGTTTAAAACAACTGAAACTTTAGGATCAATAAAACCAATCTGTAGAGACACTTCCTCAACCCAGGGAAGTGAAGACTTCTGCAGAACAAAGAATTTTGAAGATAAATTCCCACTTAAATATTACACATCATTTGAAGAAACTAGCCACCATGAGGGAGAGCCAACAGAAACAACAAACAGGAGATTTAGAACCTAGCAAACTGGAAATTATAACTTTATACAGACTGATTTTATTATCTTTTACTACATGTCACTTTTGCTTTGGTTCTCATTAAGGGCCAATGCAAAACCTTTTAAAATATCCTAATTTACATCTCTATTAAGATTACGGATAATTTTTGAAATTCCCCCAGAGTGAACTAAAGAACATTTATGTGTAAAATTCAACATGGGGCACACAAGGCGGTTTATTGTTATTAGATGAACTAGATGGTGGTTGCCTGTAAAAGGGAAACTGAATTAACTACCAGATTGCCACTGATCCCCGTCTACTACTTTGGAGCTAGATAATCTATAACTTGAATATACTTAGTCTTACGTTCAGAAACTGGAGGAAACTGTCTCCTCCAGTCCTTTTGGATGGCATTTTAATTGTTTAATGTTATGAAAACTGAGTACACATTTAAAATGACGCATCTACAGCATCCCCAAATTTCAGAAACTACTTTAAGTTTAAAAGCTCAGATTTACATGGGAAATTCCAAACATCCTTCACTTTCTGATTACTTACTAAATCTGAAGTACTCCTTTCAACTTTTCTTGATGTGTTTTATTTTGTACTTTACTCCTTTCTTTCATTTTGCTTAAAAATATCAACACACTAAAGCCAAAGTATTTTAAAATGTAAGCCAAGATGAAGTGTTTTGTTGTTCTCACTGCAGAAATAGTGAAAGAGAAGCATGAAAAATAGATTAACTAGGTCTCTCTTAAATCATCCTTATCTATGTGTATTTTGACAACGCTTTGCATCTTTTAATCTTTGCAACCCTACTTCAAATGAGGAAATGGGAATTCAGGTTAGTGTTCAAGGCAGAACCCGAACTACGGTATTAGGACTCCAGGCAGGATCCTAAGAAATGCCTTCTCATCCCCCAGTGCCGACATTTTATAATGTCTTCTCTGAAAAATAGATTTAAAGGGGAGACATTTAAGAAATCCCGGCTGGGCGCGGTGGCTCACGCCTGTAATCCCAACACTTTGGAAGGCCGAGGCGGGCGGATCGCCTAAGGTCAAGAGTTCGAAATCAGCCTGGCTAACATGGTGAAACCCCGTGTCTACTAAAAATACAAAAAATTAGCCAGGTGTGGTGGCGGGCGCCAGTAATCCCAGCTACTCGGGAGGCAGAGGTTGCAGTGAGTCGAGATCGTCCCATTGCATTCCAGCTTGTGCAACAAGAGCGAAACTCCGTCTCAAAAAAAAAAAAAAAAAAAAAAAAAAAGAAGAAGAAGAAGAAGAAGGAAAAAAAGAAAAATCCCTTAGGAGGAAAGTTACATATTATAATTATTCACAAAGGAAACAACCCAAAGCAAAAGAAATCTGGGAGACGCTCCGGCCTGCGAAAGACCTGGTTATGCCTGTTCCCTTTTCGTTAATTATACTCCACCCTTTTTAAATGTTTCTTCATCATCAAAATCCTAAATCTGATCATCTCCTGAGTCAATCTGAAGGATGCCTCCAGCGCTGTGCACACTCCCTGCAAAATACAAGGATTTCAGGGCAAACTAAGAGCCACAGAGAGCACCGCTCCCGCCCTACAGGTACAGGATCCAAAAGGCACTTTGATCTCCCGTTTCCGCCACCGACTCGTAGCTCCTTCCCAAATACCTGTTTATCTCCACTCTCATCCCCATCGCCATTTCCCCCCTTAGCTCCTGAAGCGATTAACCAGCAACAGTGAGAAACAACGAGAGAGAGAGAGAGCGCAGAGGCAAGCCTGGGGGAAACGAATGTCTGCGTGGCAAGGTTTCCTTAGGCAGTTTGTCAGGCACTGCTGAAGGCAGCCTGGAAGGAAGCCGGACCCTGAGGCCGCGGAGAGAGGGCCTTGTGTTTGCAGCCCGACGCACTGATTGGCCGCGACCGAGGAAAAACCCGGATGCGCTGGACAGCAGTGTTGGCGGTCGCGGCTCCGAGATTTGGGCACTTTTGGGGGTGCCGGTGGCCCGGGCCAATGGCGCAAGGTTGGGCAGGCTTCTCTGAAGAAGAGCTGAGGAGACTAAAGCAGACTAAAGGTAACAAGATGGGTTTACAGTGTTTTAATTCTTGGGCCTTAAGGGGAAGGGGCGGGGATACAGCTTTGGCGGGGGAAGGGGGCGTGGAAGTGGCTACGTTTGTGTTAGCGGAAGGCGCTGTAAGTACCTGGACTGGTTTGAGGGGGTTTGAGAGGTGGACTTACTGGAAGTCACGACGGGAGGGGCAAGCCAGAGGACTAGGATCTTCTTTTAGGAAAGACGGTCCAGGAATCCACTGTAGGGATTTGACTCTTTTCTTGTGAAAGGAGTGGGACTTGGGAGAGGAAGTGAGCCTGCAGCCTGTGTGTCTTCCTTAGGGAGGATTGCTGCAGGAATCGACAGTTGGAAGGTTAGGGTCAGGGTAAGGGAAGGAGGAGGGGTGCACATCATATTAGAATTGTGGTGAATTTACAGAAGCAGAAGATTGGAAAAAATGAGCACAGGCGTCTGAATAAAGGCAAAACTTTGGTACTTTTCACAATTCATCTGGAGTGTTGCATTCACTTCTGGTTGCCGGATGATTTTTACAGTTCTTTCCAATTTTTGAGAATCGGCAAACCAAAAGGGTCTTTGAGAGGGTAGATGGGAAGACTTTATATGTTTATATATAGACAGTCTTACTTTGGAGTAAGCTAATCTTGTTCTTCTCTCTCTGGCTTTTTTAGAGTAAACATTGAATGGGCTTGCACTATATATATATCTTTATATATATATTTTTTTTAATGAAGGAATTAAGTTTGCTGATTGTTGGTGGAAAACTTAGTCATATTGATTGCACTGCACTTGTGGTTGAAATTTCGCAGTGATCTGTGTGGTTATCCTGGTAGTACACACAATTTCTGTAAGAAGTGTACACCACTCTTGTTACCTTAATTCAAATACTTTATTTTGGTAGAAAATGAAGTAAACCTTTTATTAGCGTTTGTAGGGAAGTTAGATGTTGCTCTGGTAGCTTGTGCATTTTTAGCATAAATGTGAGAATAATCTAGGGCGGACAAGTGGGAAAAGAAGTAAATTAGTAAGATAGGACCAATGTAGATTATATCGATTGGGGACATTTTGACTGGTCCAGGGGACTTTAAAAACTCTATCAAAAAGGTTATGCTACGCTGTATGGTTAACTGACTCTGTGTTGCTTTATATGCTCGAATTCTTTTGCTCTGTGTTTTCAACATCCATTCACATACTCTGATGTGCAGGGTACAAGTGCCCTGGCCTCTGGTCTGACTCCAGTAGACTCATGAGGAGACAAATCACAAAGTTATGTGATAGTAGATATTGCAAAAGCTTGCTTCAGAGACAAGAGGAACCTCCCTCTGCCGGAGATTGGATGGAGCTTGGGAAAATTTCACCAAGATTGTGTGTTAGCAGAGGCGCATTTTCCAGGGTAAAGACGACTTAATCTAAACATCAAAATTACACAATATATTAATTATGTAGAAGTATATTTTGAAATATCTTTGCAACTGGGGGTAGATAGAGGATGGTAAGGACCTGAACTTCAAGGCCCACTGTAGAGTGTGGAAACCAAATCACTAGTCCGTGACCACCTTGAGGACGGAAAATATCTTAACATCCTTGTATACCCGTAGCTAAACACAGTCATTGGCGTATAGAACTTTCAGCTCTTCCTCTAAATCTTTTCCCCTTGGATTCCTTATTTGTAAAATTAGAGGATTTGGCCCTTTAATTTTAAAGCCATTTCTAGCTGTTCTCTATCCTTAAACATTTATTGAATAATCTAAGAAGATGGAGTTGGTTGCCAGCAAAAATAAGGACAGTAGTACTCTGGAGACCCCTGTATGTGCATTGAGGAACATGGTCAAGAACGTTGTTAATAGTCTTGTTTGTAATATTAAGAAGGTGGAAACAACCAAAGTGTTCATTAACAAGGGAATCGGTAAATAAATTGTGGTATACTCATCTAGTGGGCTACTACTGTACAGCTGGTGGGAATATATTAGTATGTACTGTAACCACATGCATTAACATGTTTGTTAATACAGTATATGTGATTACACTTGGCCCTTGAACAACATAGGTTTGAACTGTGACGGTTCACTTATACACGAATGTGCATTTTAAAAATACAGTGTTTGGGGGATGCGAAACCTGAGTATATGGAGGACCAACTTTTGGTATATATGGTTTTCACAGCGCCAACTGTTGGACTTGAGTATGCACAGATTTTGGTATACATGGGGATCCTGGAACCAGTTATCCTCATATATCAAGGATCAGCTAGCTGTATGTATAATATATACAGTCACACACTCAATAACAGTATTTCAGTTATCAGTGGACCACATATACAGTGGTGGCCTGGTAATATTATTATAATACCCTGTTTTTATGGCACTTTTTCTATGTTTTCTTCAGTATAGTGACATACTGTACAGGTTTGGAGCTTAGGAGCAAAAGGCTGTACCATATAGCCTAAGTATATAGTAGGCTGTACCATCTAGGTTTGTGTAAATACACTCTCTGATGTTTGCACAAGGACAAAATTGCCTAACAACACATTTCTTAGAATGTAGCCCATTGTTATGTGACGTATGATTGTATATAGTGGGGAGGCGTGGGAATGTGATCAGGTAGAGGAAAATTCAGAGGTATTGGTAATTTATGAAATCAGGTTAAGGCAAGTTAAGCTAAAGTAACAAATAGCCCTAATATGTCAATTGTTTAAAATAAAGATTTGGTTTTCACTCTAGTTTCATGTTTAATGTGGGTTTGGCAGGTGACTGTGTTCCACAGTCACTCCATCTTTTGGTGCTGTCTTGTAGGAGTTTACCATGGTAGGAGGAAAGGAAGATTGAAAATTGAACATTGGCAAGTAAATCCTTTCACCAGTAAATGACATGTGACACTCCTACTTATATTTTATTTACCAAAAGCAAGTCATACAACTTGGGGGACAGGACATAAATTCTCTCTTACCTTCTAAAAGGAGGATTATGTCTATCGTTAAACAGTAGTTACTTCTACTGCAGTCATATTTTATTTCTTAAACTTTTTTTAATCATATAGGTTGGAAGACTGTGTGTGTGTGTTTATGAGTGTAACACATGCTTATATTTGATGTATGATCTATTTCATAATGAAAAATTGGAAGAAAACAGTACAGCCACATGCTGTCAATTTTTAGTTAAATAAATTATTTATTCAGAAGAGTTATTCTTCATACTGATTCTTTGCCAGTTACATTATGAATATCTTCTCCCAGTTTTTAAGTTGTCTTTTCACTTTTATCTTTTTGGTGAACAAAATATTTTATTTTTTGAGACTGGCTCTCACTCTGTTGCCTAGGCTGGAGTGCAGTAGTGCGAACATAGCTCACTATAACCTGGGATCGAGCGATCCTCCTGCCTCAGCCTCCCAAGTAGCTCGGATTACAGCTATGTGCCATCACACCACACTAGTTTTCTTTCTTTCTCTCTCTCTCTTTCTCTCTCTCTCTTTCTTTCTTTCTTTCCTTCCTTCCTTCCTTCCTTCCTTCCTTCCTTCCTTCCTTCCTTCCTTCCTTCCTTCTTTCTTTCTTCTTTCTCCCTTCCTTCCTTCCTTCCTCCTCCTTCTTTTTTTTTTTTTTTTTGTAGCAATAGGATCTTGCTATTTTGCCCTGGTTGTTCTCAAACTCCTGGGTTCAAGCAGTTCTCCTCCCTCAGCCTCCCAAAGTGCTGGGATTACAGGCATGAGCCACCATGCTGGGCCTTAATTTTAATATATTCAAACATGTGAACCTTTTTTTAATAGCGAGCATTTCCGTGTCTTAAGAAATTGGTTTCTTAGCCTATAATTAGTATAGTAGTTACAGGTGTGAGCCACTGCACCTGGCCACTATTCTTGACCTTCTATCTTTTCATATAAAATTTTTAATAATTTTACCAAATTTAACGGAAAACCCATTAGGAATTTTGATTGTAATTGCATTGACTCGTTAGATCAATTTCATCTTCATATTATTAACATTACTACTAACATGTCTCCATTTATTTAGTACTTGTTTAAATTCTCAATAAATTTTATAGTTTTCCCTATAGAGGTATTAAACATCTTTTTGTTAGATTTGTTCCTAGGTAACTGATAATTTCTGGTATTGAAATATATTCTCTTTAATTGTATTTTCTAATTGTTTTCTGCTGATGTATAAAAAAGTGCAAGCCAAAAGAAAAGTCAACAAAAGACATGAATAGATATTTCCTAGAAAAGGAACTATGAAGAGATGCTCATCACCACCAAGGAGCAGAGAATTACAAATCAAGAACACAGTGAGGTACTATTTTACACCCATTTGATTGACAAAAATTAAAACATCTGACAGTATTGTATATTGAAGAGAAAGTACATCCACAGGATCTTACACACTACTAGAGGGAGTACACTTTGGAAAGCATTTTCACGTTTCTTCTAAAGTTATACTTTGTGACTCAATAGTTCTTAGATAATATCCAAAGCAAATTCTTGTACATGTAAAATAAGAGACACAGTATTGAAAATTTACAAAAGCAAAAACCTGTAACCAACCTAAATATCTATCAGTGGAAGAAGATCAGTAGACTCTGGTTTACTCACACAATGAAATATTATACAACAAAATTAATGACTGCTGTGACGTAGACAATATGAATGACTACTGACAGTGTGATATTAAGTAAAACAGATGCACAGCACAAAACCCTTTTTATAAAGTTGAACAACTAAGTAAATACTTTTTAGAAATATTCATAGATGCAACATGTCTATTAGAGAAGGAAGAGAATAATCAACATATGATTCAAATGATAGTTTTCTGGGGTTGGGGGAGCAGGGCTTAAATAAGGGATATGGAGCATATATCACAAACTGGTAGTCCATTGGCTTAATTTAACCCAAAAATGTATGCGGCTTTTCGGCTTTGCCTGCTTCCTTCCCCCTTCTTTCTTTTTTTCCTCCTTTCTTCCTGCCTGCCTTCCTTTCTTTCCCTTCTTCCCTCCCTCCCTTTTTCATTCCTTCCTTTCTTCCTTCTCTATCTCTTTCATTTATCCAATCTTTACATTTATTTTAAGTTAATAATGGTGATAATCATTGTGTTATTTGGTAAGCCAGCTATAACTATTGCCTTTGTTTGGGGGTAAGTCCATGTACTAGGTGAGCCATTGAATTGTGAGCAGAAGTGTTACGTCACTATTGGGTCAGAGCACTTAATTGCTGTAGCAAGACCTTCCTGACCTCTCTTTTCTCCCCGTGTTGTGGTGGCCAGCAACACTGAATATATGACGTACAGTCAGCCTAGAGCCCTGAGAGACTAATCAGCAGAACCACTGTGTTAGCCTTTAGTTGGCACATGTCATTAATGAAAAATAAACCTTTGTGGTTTGAAACCACTAAGATTTGCCCCACAGCATAATATAGATTTTCCTGATTGAGACAGTTCCCTACATTTAAAAATCAAGATATTTTACATAAAAGTCTAAATTGTAATCATAAAAATCAAAATATCTAGCTATGCTGACCTAAATTTTTTAATGATAGCAATTGACTAAAGGTGACTATGAATTGCCCCCTTTCCACCAGACTTGTGCTTCTCAGTTCACCAGTCTCCTTGATATTTGCAGCCCCTAATACACAATGTGGGAAACAGTATGTTCTGTGTTTAAGTGGCCTGATTTGCTTATTGTTTATTGTTTAAAATTAGCATTTTCAGTCTTATAGGTAGGTTCTGCAAAAATGCAAAATAAAATAGAAGTGATTACCTGAATTTCAGAGGAACTATTAATAATTCAGCTAATGAGTTCAACAGGGAGGTAAGCAGGCTAAGTGACATTTTTTGATGGTATGAATAAAGATCAGAGCCAAGAATGTGTTCCTGTTGCAAGGTACAGGAGGATACTTTGTGTTTCTGGCTAAAGTCAACAATAACATTTGCTTTTGATAGTACCTCAGTCTTTTAAAAAATGTTTTCTGTACGTATCTCATTTATTCTTAGACCAACTTCATGCATCAGAGCAGGTTAATTTTCAACCAGCTTGATAGATGAGGAAACTAAGATATTGAATAAATAATTGACTTACCTGAGGTCACTGAACTGGGCAGAAGCAAAACTGGAATTGTGACTCTAGAGCTTTTAACTATACTTTGGGAAATTCGAATAATAAGCGTGTTTTGCTTCAAAAGTCAATATGCCAAATTTGAAAGTCCCATTTGAGTTGTTCGTTTACAAAAACTCATAATTTCACTTCCCAGGCATTTAAGAGAGAATGCTATTTATAGATCTTATTAAATATAGTATGAATGTGAGTCAGATTCTCCAGTTGTCTGCCCTAAAATGTTTACACTGGCATAAACAGTCCAAAAAGTGTAACAGAAGTATTATTATTTATAACTTTAAAGATATTTCCCCCCAGTTGTTTTATCTTCTATTGCTTTGCTCAGGCTACTATTAAAAGTAGTTTGAATGCATTGATTAGAGCGTGACTAGGCTCTGGGGAGTACAACCTTGGATTGTTCTGTAGGATGAAAGAAAACAGTTTAAGGTTAACTAGCATTCCTAGAAATAAGAGACTTCACTCAACTATATTCCTGTTATAGCATCTGAATATGTATCACATATGTACCAAATTGCCCTAAAAGCTGTTAAAATTTAAGAGAGGGTTATCCCATTTGAAAATGCAACCACCATTTTGTTCAGGAGAGCAGAGAGAACCATAAATCAAATTTAAAATCAGATAATTCAGTCATCTCCCTGATTTGGTCAAAATTAGTTGATTTCTTTTGACAATTAGGAAATCAAGTTGAAAAAGAAACCTCACTTTGTCACGTAAGGCCTAACTCACTGATGGACTTCTCTGAAGATAAATTAAGAGATGGGGCAGTTTCTGTTAAATATTAACATTATGATCTAAAAACTGTTGAAACTCTACAGGAAGATGGCTGTTTTTCCCCTAGACTTTCAATATAGAGAATGGGGTAGGAGAACCACTAGAATTATCAAACTGTAATGTTAATTTTTTATTTTCTTAGAGGAATTATAATTATTTGCTGCTCACACAAAGGAATTTTCCTCTATTTTCTTTTACGTAGATCCATTTGAACAACAGCGGCGTCTCCCCACGAAGAAAAGTCGACAACAACTTCAGAGAGAAAGAGCCCTTATAGAGCAAAGCCAAAAACTTGGACTTCAAGATGGATCAACCTCATTACTTCCAGAGCAGCTGCTTTCAGCACCAAAACAGAGAGTTAACGTTCAAAAACCACCTTTTTCTTCCCCTACTCCTCCGAGTCATTTCCCTCTCACCTCTCCTGTTGGTGATGGACAACCACAGGGCACTGAAAGTCAGCCAAAGGAACTGGGACTTGAGAATTCCCATGATGGTCACAACAATGTTGAGATTCTACCTCCAAAGCCAGACTGCAAACTGGAGAAAAAGAAAGTGGAATTGTTAGTAAGTCTATATGAAGAGTCCATGAGACTTTTCATCTAAACCGTTTTTTCCCAGTGGGCTTTAAGGAAATGTAACTTGTTTGTTTTAACATTTTATCTCTTTTATATTCAATCCTAGAAATGTGATGTATAAACTATTGAAAAATAGCTACCACCTAAATATAAGCTGGATGCTGTTAGTCATTCTGTATGTTTTATGTTATTGAGTCTTCATAACAGCCTTAAAATGCATGTTTATTATTCAAACTTTATAGATGAGGTATCTGGGACTCAGAAAAGATGATACCTTCCTAAAGCTAATACACTGCTAGTAAATAGTAGAGCTGAGATTTACATATAAGTCTGTCTGGATCCGAAGTTTATGCCTTTTACACTCAGCAGAAGCAGTTCTTTTTTCTTTTCTTTTTCTTTTTTTTTTTTTTCTTTGAGACAGAGTCTCGCTCTGTTGCCCAGGCTGGAGTGCAATGGCGTGATCTCAGCTCAGAAGCAGTTATATGCATAGTGCCTCTCCCCAAATTGACCCCTTTCTTCATCTTCCAGACTATTTCCGTTGGCCCAGAAATTGAAACTTGTGGAGAGACATAAAGGGACGGTCAAAGGAGAGAGTGTAGGAAATTTAGGGGACTAATGATAAAACTCAGTTCATCATTAGGTTTGTTTTTATTTATTCTTTACTGTCTTTGTATTAGAAACAACCTTCATAATTTAGCTACACTTCTCTTGTGGAAGATGCTATTTTTTGATTTGCAAATTCTTAGAATTTTTTATTTGATAGCTTGTGTTTTAATATATACTCTATTTCTTTGTTTCCTGCTGATTTATCACTCACAGAGGAGAAGGAATGACTTTTATCTCTGTTTTCTCTTTTCTGAGTTCTTTTCAAAGTATCTTTTTTTTTTTTCTAATCTCTGACATCTTTTTAATCTCTGCTGATCCAGAGTCTATCCTGTGAATTTAAAATGTTTCCTGTCCACTAGGGGTTTACAACTAAGAAATCATTTTGACAAGAGTTATAAAACCACATGAATTTATGAAATCTACATTGAACAAGTGCATACATTAAAGTGTCTCTAAGTGTAGTTTACCAACAAAGGCCTGAGACAAATAGGAGGTAAGTTTACATTGAGCTGGACAATTCAGATTAGATGTCATAGGGAAACTTATTCTTTTTTTAGATACTTGGAAGAATTTTCATAAAAGACATGTAACCTAAACCATTCATGTAAAGGAGAAATTTTGAGGTTTTAAGGAGGAGAAAGGAAAGCTGTGTCCTAGAGAATGTTCGGAGATGCTACCTCATTTCTCTGGGAGAGGTGGCAAAGGATGAGCCAGAGAACAGTAGAGAATTAAATAAATGAGGAAGGAGGACAGATTCAGTGGCCCACACCTATAATTCTAGCACTTTGGGAGGCTGAGGCAGGCGCATCTTGGTCAACATGGGGAAACCCCGTCTCTACCAAAAATACAAAAAAAATTAGCTGGGTGTGGTCGTGCGTGCCTGTAGTCCCAGCTACTTGGGAGACTGAGGCACAAGAATTGCTTGAACCTGGGAGGTGGAGGTTGCAGTGAGCTGAGATCGTGCCAGTACACTCCAGCCTGGGCAACAGAGCAAGACTGTCTCAAAAAAAAAAAAAAAAAAAGAAAACAGAAATGAGGAAGGATCAGAAGCAGAAGCAGGGGATGAATAAGTAGAGAATTAAAGAAATGAGAAAGGATCGGAGATGCCTGCCTAGCAAATTCACTAATGCAGCAAGATAGCATGAAGCTCTCTGAGGGCTAAAGGCCTCAATCAAAATAATGGTTAGAGAAATTCCAGGTGTCAGTGTTATAGATCATATGGGAGAGAGTACAGGGTGAGCTGTGGAACTAAGGTGCCTAGTGAAGAGATACCTGCAATAGTAAAAGTGAGAAATGACCAGTCCCAACACTAAGGTGTAGGAATGGAGAGACAGGGACAATTTTGGAAGTGGTTACTAGATTTGGGAATAGATGCGTGTGATATAATGGCTATAAGAAGTGACAGTAATAGGAATAAATAGTTTTGCCAGTACCTTGTTTAATTTGAGTTGGCATCAAGCTCATGACTTTATGGGAAATTTTAATATATTTATTTTAGAATTGGACAGATTGTAAGACAATACATGTTTTCAGATCTTTGCATTTTTTTTCTTTAACCCAGCATTCCAGTCTTAGCTCTTAGTGTTTTACTTCGTTTAAAAATGTCTGAGTTGGGCTAGGACAGTGGCTTACACCTATAATCCCAGCACTTAGGGAGGCAGAGGCAGGATGATAGCTTGAGCCTAGAGTTCGAGACCTGCCTGGGTAATACAGCAAGACCCCGTTCTGCACAAAAAGGAAAAAAAAAAAAAAAAACAGACAAAAATCAAGTCTAAGAGTTGGGAAAAAGTGAACAAATTGAAAGAAAATATTAACGTAGGAAATAAACATTGGTTATTGTCTGAAGCACGTTAACGTGGTGGAGACTTTATAGAAAACTCTAGAAGGTATAAATAATATGACATCAGCTACAGACCAATTTTTATTAATCTCCATTCTGCATATAATACATAATTAACTTACACAAATTTCTTTGTACTCCTAAACACATGCCACAGTATTCTGGCTTCTAGTTTGTGGGTTCCTAGATTATATACATATTACGGATTTCAGAGGTCCAATTTATGTAAGCCTCTTTACTTTAGATCGTAGTCTTTGTTCCCATTAGAACAAAATAATGAACTGCAGGTGGGTTTCTTTTAAGAGGACTTTTGAAAGAACATATACATAAATCTTCTTGATTAAATTTTATACTTAGGGGACTGAGACTGGTAAGGTGTGGGATAGGGTAGCAGTTTCTTTTTCTTTCATAAACTCATTTTTATGCTTTTTTTGCCCCCTAGGCAGGAAAAATCTCGTTGGGAAGTCCTCCAACAGGAACAACGGCTAATGGAAGAGAAAAATAAACGTAAAAAAGCTCTTTTGGCTAAAGCTATTGCAGAAAGGTGAGGCACCTGAACCAGGAGAGGTTGCTTGTAACCTGTAACCCATTCTGTCATGTGTTATATTTATTTTCCCATGTCTCTTTTAATAAACTGATATTTTTTCTTCCACCATTACTTTTAAGTAAACAAATTATGCTTTATAAGTGATACTGAAATTCCAATTATAATTTATTAAGGAGAACTTTTTAAGCATAGAGCATATTAAATTTGTAAATATAGTTGCAGTTAAAACTTAAAGACCTTCATTAGTGCTTCCAGTTTTAGACATCTACACAATCATAAGGGAAGCAGTAAATAGCTATCAGTATATGTAAATTAGCAACAAATGCAAGTTTTAATTTTTATGTAGGGAGATCTTAATCATTTGATGTGTAGAGGAATAAGGTTTTCTACGTAAGTGATGTACTCCCATGAATCTTAATTGTATTTCCTATGGGCATTTTCTTAAATAATGTGTCCCACCTCCACAAGTAGAAGATACATGGTACAGTTTAACTTTTTATTGATGACTCAGGGTCGTTATTATGAGCACTGTGTGAGATTCAATTTTTCTTTCACCTTCCAGTGTCTTATCAGCAGCCCCTTCACATTTACTGCATTGTACCAGCCCCACACAACAACATTCCCATTGGAATCATTCTTCCCATCCCCTACCACTCTTGCTGAGTTTGTAGTTTCTGTCTCATCTCCTGTGGCCTTAGGAAACTAAACTTAGTCAATAAATCAATGGTTGTGAATAGTGAAAATAAATGCAAGGAAATATTTAGTGACATTTTCTTTTTAGACTTCCAGAAAAGTCTGTCAAACTGTTACTGCTTGAAGCTAGAGTATGTGTAGGGGCAGGAGAAGAGGGAAGAGGGTGATAGGTATAAGAGTAGTTTAGAATTTTGTCTATCAGAGGAGTGTGTGTATTTGAGAAATCATGATTTTTCTTTTTCTACTACTGGTACACCTTTATCTTTCTTGAAGCATAGGAAATATGCAACTCACTGAGTTACTGTGTTTCAAGGGAAAAAACCAGCAGATAAAAGAGTAGTGCCTTTTTTTTTTTTTTTTTTGTAAGTGATTATTTAAAAATAAAGCATTTTAGTAGTCTTTGATTTCTAAGAGGTGGGAAGGCTGTTTTCTGTGGTTTTACAAAAACATGTACAGGCTCGGCAGTTCTTCTTATAAGTGTTTTTGATTTTAGACATCACCAGTATAAACACAAGTGTAGGGAAATGCATCATGTTTGAACTATTAATAAATGGACAGTGAAGTACTTGATGTTAAGTGAACTTTTGTAGGCAGAAAGGAAGGGTAGATGCCTAAGAGTAGAAATCTAGAGAATGTGCGGTGTAACATAGTGGACTTATGTGGGGATTTTTCTTCTTCATTCACAGTGTGTGTGAAAATTTGAAATGAGTGAAATCATGATTAAAGGGTTGCTTTTTTATTTGCTTGTTCCATTTCTTAAGTATATGTTGTACTTGGGAGAGGGGATTAAGAAATGATGCGGTTGGATGTGCTTTTAAATAAGGAAAATGAGTGTTTTGGTGTTCAACTCCATAAAGAATCTGGGGAACTAGTAGTTTTCCTAGAGAACAAGAATCAAAGCAATAAAAGTTTGGGGAAATGGGTCCCAAGAAAGTTAAAACTAAATGGATATTCTCAGATGTATAAAGAGGTGTGGTTTAGTATAGGCATCTGTCTGTTCTTAATGGCAGGTAAGTATCAGACAAATGAAAATGGGCTTAGGAAGAGGAAGAATTAAAGACTAGAAATTTGGAAAGCTCTGTTGAATGTTTCAATGTAAAGGGAATACAGATATATTCTTTTAGTGTTTGTTCTCTTTACAGAATGAGTATGTACAAATGAACTATTTGCTGAGTTTTTTTTAGTCTTATTTGTTACTTTGTTTATGCAACATGCAAATATAAAATTTCAAAAACTCAAATGTTAACCAGCATTTATTTTATTTCAATTTTCCTGAGTTTTTTCTAACTTTTAAAATATAAATTATAAACATATATACAGTATCTTGCTTTTTCACTTACATTGTATATGAACACATGGTTTTAAAATGTTCTTACTTTCCCACTCACATACCTGATTTTCTAGATCCAAAAGAACTCAGGCAGAAACCATGAAACTAAAGCGGATCCAGAAGGAGTTGCAGGCTTTAGATGACATGGTGTCAGCTGACATTGGAATTCTCAGGAACCGAATTGATCAGGCCAGCTTAGACTATTCATATGCTCGGTGAGTTGGGGAAATTGAATCTGAACAAGGAGTATGATTTAATTAATGTTTATTGCCAGCTATTCCAGGGGCTTTTATGTATATATCATAATTTAAGCCTCAAAACAACCCCATTCAGTGCTGTATTTATTCCTCTTTTGTGCTAATTCAGGTGTCTGCTCTTCAGTGAAGTCTTCCTTAACTCTGCCCTACTAGTTAACCTTGTTCGTGTGCCATTAGAGCAGTTCTTGCATTATTTATTTACATTTTAGTCTTTGCTGCTAAACCCTCAGCGATTTAATGTTTGGAAGTTTTTTATTCATCTTTCAGGATCCAGCAGGTAAATATCTGAATGATTTGCCCAAAACTGTTATTCTAACACCATGTCTGTGTTTCTTTCCATTAAAATTTTTGATATCTGACACGGTCCTATAGGGTTGAAGTCTAGTTCTCACTTTAGATTTCATCAGAGTAAGAGGATCTAGTTTAGTTTTTAAAAGCTTATGAATATTTTAAGCAGATCCTCTGTCTTGGAAATTTGAAATATTTTCTCTTTTCTTTTTTTTCAATTATATTCTTATGAGATGGTTTAATATATGTTTCCTTGGTTTCAACCATTGGCATTTTTTAAAAGAGAAAAAAGTACCATGGAGTATTTTTAAAATGAACTAACACATGTAATGAATTACATAGACTTTGCAGACAGATAAAAGGGCAAAAAATTATATTCAACTTCAGGGTTTTCAGCCCTTTCAACATTGCTTTAATCATACTGGTTTGTCTTTTTTTGCAAGGGAATGCTGTGTTAATGACTTGATTTTCTATCTTTCTCTGTTACACTAGAAATCAATCAAAATGCCTCATTAGGCCAGGGTAAACCACAACATCAGAATGTTTATATAACAGTTTATTAAAGCGGAAATGCTTGATTGTAGTGTTTAATTAACTGTTGAGTGTTTAAGAAAGAGACTTGTGGTTGTCCTTGTGATTCTTGTAATTGTTGTTGGACCATATGCTGTTAGACTTAAAGGGTTGTCTTTATTAATTAACTACCTAAATGAATGCCATCAGTAGCTGATAACCAGAGGTTCCAGGTTTCCACTAATAAGGTCATTAAGGGAGGTAACAGAGATTTTATTTAAGATTAAACTAAGCCTTGATTTGTAACATATTTTATTCTCTGTAACATAAGTTTGCCAGAGGAACATTTTTATGCCTTTGTAGCCTTTTATATGAATAATTCATATTATAAGGTACAAGTACTAGGTACCTCAATAGAAATTTGAGGCCAGGCACAGTGGCTCACACCTGTAATCTCAGCATTTTGGGAGGCCAAGGCAGGCAGATTACGAGGTCAGGAGCTCACGACCATCCTGGCTAACACAGTGAAACCCTGTCTCTACTAAAAATACAAAAAATTAGCCAGGCGTAGTGGTGGGTGCCTGTAGTCCCAGCTACGCGGGAGGCTGAGGCAGGAGAATGGCATGAACCTGGGAGGCGGATCTTGCAGTGAGCCAAGATTGCGCCACTGCACTCCAGCCCCGGCGACAGAGCGAGACTCCGTCTCAAAAAAAAAAAAAAAGAAAGAAAGAAAAAGAAAAGTAATTTGATTTTGTTTTAATTCTGTTCTAGTGGAAACTGGAGAAAGATGCCTTTTCATATTCAGTATTATATAAGAAATGTCATAGTTTTAGCCTTCTAAGAACCACAAAGAAGGTGGGATTACTAAAGGAAAAAACATCCTATAGTCTCTAAGTATCCTAAATGAAATTTTAGTAAATTTTTACATCTTTAATAAGTTACAGATGACGGTTTCTCATGTTACTAATATTGATTTAGTTGAATGTAAGTAGATGTTGTGTGCCGCTGTTTTTATTTTTATTTGTGAGATGGAGTATCACTCTTATTGCCCAGGCTGGAGTGCAGTGGCGTGATTTCTGCTCACTGCAACCTCCGCCTCCCAGATTCAAGCGATTCTCCTGCCTCAGTCTCCTAAGTAGCCCAACTACAGGTGCCCACCACCACACCTGGCTAATTTTTTGTATTTTTAGTAGAGATGAGGTTTCACCTTGTTGGCCAGGCTGGTCTTGAACTCTTGACCTCAGGTGATCCGCCCGCCTCGGCCTCCAAAGTTCTGGGATTACAGGTGTGAGCCACCACACCTGGCCGTGTGCTGCTATTTTCAAAAGCCGAAGCTCTTGTGTTCAGTCAAAGGGAAATATAGACAATGGTGATTAGAACCATAGTGTGTCTTGTTCATGCGTAAGATTAAGGTATCATTTTCTAAATTTGCATTTGTGGTTACTGAGAAATTACAGATTGGTAAAATAATAATATGGTCCAGATTTCGAGTGAAAGGTAATCCCTAGGACAGTCAGTTTTTATGGGATATTTCCTTGTGTTTTCTTTTTAAAATAAAAATAATATCTTAGTTCTGTAGTATTTGGTACAATGCTATGTCCACAGAAGGTTCTTGGATAGTGAATAGGCCAGAACTTGCTTTAAAATTGGCTTCTGTAGAGCAGTGTTTGGAGAGACACCTCTGAGAAGGCTGGCACTTTGAGTGAGCCAATTTGAGAGAGTTGCTGCTGCTCCTGCTGCTACTGCTACTGTTCACCACTGGGATTACAGTGTTGCCATATGCTGTGCAGACCAGCTTACAAAATCAAGAGTGGCTGCATGTAGAACATTTTTTTGAATCACTGTTGACCATCTAGGTTTCATAGACACCTTCATACACACAAACATACACCCACAGACAAATATTTTTAAATCACTTTATGAATAATTTTTAAAACTAAGATTAAAAGGGATTGTGTAAAACAACTTTAAGATTTTAATAAGAATATAAGCCTGGTAACCATCTTTGTATCAAGTAATGTTTGACTCACAGACATGAAAAGCTGAGAGAATGTAGTTACATTACATCCTTGTAGCAACAGGGGATAGTCTAGATACTTGTAAAATATTGGGGGTAAGTTCTCCCTGCTGAAATGATTAACTCTATGATAATATCATTTTTCCTTTCTATGCTTAGAAATATATTTTTCATTCACTGATTCTCAAGTTTGAGAAAATTCACCTAGGCTATGTTTTCTGAAGACTCATCTGAGATTTCATATATGATCGATTCTTATCATCTGGACTCTAGAATGTGTCTCTGCATTTCTATTAGTTTCCTAGGACTGCCATGACAAGTAATCAAAAACTGGGTGACCTAAAACAACAGAAATTCCTTCTCTTGCATTTCTGGAGGCCACATACCCAAAATCAAGGTGTCAGGTTTGTAATGTCTTCAGAGACTCTAGCTATCCATTTCTTGCCTCTTCCAGCTTCTGGTGGCTGTGGGCATCCCTTGGCTTGTGGCCACGCCACTCCATTCTGTGCCTCCATAGTTATATTGCCTTTTCTTCTCTCTCAGAACTTCCTCTGCCTTTCTCTTAAAAAGATGCATGTGATTACACTTAGGGTCCAACTGTATAATCTGAAATAAACTCCTTTCAAATCTTTTATCTTAATCACATCTTTTTCCATATAAGGTAATTTTCACTCATTTGTCGTAGAAAGTAATATTCACAGGTCCCAGGAATTAGGAATTATCTTTGGGAGGCCGTTTTTTAGCCTACCACAGGATTCATCTTTTGATTTCTGTAACAGTGGCAAAATGTCTTCCTCTGTCAGTTGTCTCTACTTTGCTAATACTGGATAGGCAGAAATGAAAACTAAAAACAGGTTTCAAAAATGGTGTTTTCAGTCTTCTTTTATACCTTCTGGAGGTGACATAGTACTTTGTACAGCACAGTAAAGAAGGTCAACAATGATAACTTATTGCATCATCCTTTTAGATCATTATTTTCTTATTTTAATTTTTTATTGCAAGGAGAATAATTGATGAGTAATGATGAAATAATTCCTAGGATGATGAAATGGCAGGATGTTTCAAGATACAGGAAATATAAAAATACTGCAATAATCCTCTATCTTAGATTTATGAAAGGGTTCATTGGACCTCTCTAGTAATTGCAAAATATAATTTATTCTGTTTTTTCAAATAAGTAAATTTTCTCATTGTTTGAAAGACTTAAGAAAAGGTAAAAATTATGAAATGCTGCTAATTTATACAAATAGTGAGAACTGCTCAGAAAAGGAACTGAAAAACTAAAAGTGGACTGTGGAACCCAGTGCTATACAGAGGGTTAATGGTTGAGTTTTTAAACATTTCAAGGGATACCAAAACAAAGAGATACTTTCTAAAATCCTTTAAAAATAACTTTCATTAATTCATTCTATCCCCCTTTAAAATAACAAAACAATTGTATAATTACATTTCCAGTTCACTCTGTGTTACTATGTTATGTATAATGCTCTTATTATTTTGTTCCAGAATGTCATCATACACTACTTTGGTATTACCCACCTGACTGTAGGCTGGTAGTGCAGTTTGTGAAACTAATCAATATTTTAAACGTTAAATCACTCTGTAGGAGAGTATATATTCGTATTTCTGACCAGAAAGACTTTGAATAAATAAACAAAATAAAAAATCTTCAGTGATTTATCCAGGGTGATAGATCAGTGGAAACCAAGGGACCCATTTGCAGATGTTAATTTCAATTCAGTATTCATGAGTCCATACTGTAAATCTCTACTGATTGATTTTGACTGGCTGAAGGAGACCACAGACTTGCAGAGAAGGGAGGTTTGAGTCATGGTCAGGTCAGGGCATTCATACACCTATTGAGAATGTCAGAACCCCTGTCTTGTTGCAAGAATATTACATGAACAGGGTATGTTATAAAGTATGGAAATAAGGGAACTAGGTATCCAGTAGAGTTCCTTTAGAATAATTCTTTTAACATAGAGGGTTATTGAAAGATAATGGGCACTCTCATTCTTACATTTACTATATTTAATAAAAAAAAAAGGAAATATGATAGATTAACATTATATAAATGAATTTTCAAGTATAAATACCAGGTCCGTAAATTTTGTGTAATCTTAATTTTAGATTCATGCTTACTAATACATTAACAGTACTTTTTGATTCTGGTGTTCTAAAGGAGAAGTTCTGTTTCTTGAGTACCTACCATACACGAGACTGGAAGCTTGCCCCATTTATACTGTTTAATACTCAAAACTCCTATGAGGTATTTTATCATCGTTGTTTTACAGATAGACCAAGACTCAGCTTAAGTAACTGCCCAGAGTCTCTGTACTGGAATTTTCAATTATTGCATGCCTCTTCCCCAACCCCTTCCAGAGGAACCTGACTGTGTTTTGGACTCAGGATGCTGACCCTGGGGCATACCTAATTAGAACAAAGATGGGCTACCGAATCCAGTACATTTAATCCATGGGCTAAGTAGTGGTTCATGGCATGGCCTGACACTAAGAGTTCTGTTTAAACTGAGATGAGCTGGGCAAACCTAGGTTCTTCTCTGAGACTATGGAATTGGATCACTGAGAGATTGAGTGGAGTGAATTTGATACAGATTGCAGGTGGTGGCCATACTGGGTTGTGAGTATGATAGGAGAGCTGAAATGAGAGAAAATGTATTGCTTCTAAGCATTGAAGAGAATAGCCTTTGATTCTGATGACATGACTATGAAATTGCCTCTTGCAGCCTACAATAAAACACAATTTTTACCTGAGCTAGTTTGACTGGTCTGTTCTTTGCATCCACAAAAAGCCTTAACCAAAACGGGCACACACGGTAGTTGTCAGAAAGGTTTTGAACCCTGAGTTGTCTAAAATGAAAGCCATTTATTATTTTCACTGTATTTTTTTCCAAGACAGAGAATCCTAAATTAGGAGATACACCTGTTTCTGTTTGCCATAACTCTTATACTAGAAGCTACGTATTACACTAAGTTGATGTAGGCACTCATAACAGGTAAAGCAGCGTGGCCTTCACAACTGCTAATGGTAATGAAATTGAAGAACTAGTTGGAAATCAACCTTTTTTCTGACAAAGAGGAAGGACCCTCTTGTTGTGAAAAGAAAAGCAACAAATTGTATAGAAAAGGCAAAAGACAATAAATTAAGATACGATAACTCTTCTTTTTGTACTGACCTAACGCAGAAGAAAAAAAGTGAAATTGCATGGTGACTTCTCCGGTAGAATTGCTCTGCTTCACATACGACTTTACACAAGATTACCTATCAACAGAGTTTATACATGTGTAAATATGTAAAATTTCCTACTAAGTGTAAGTGGAGTAGTGGAGAGAGTGAGAACAACTTAACCCAAGGATTCTCAAGTGGGAGCATTTTTGTCCAATAAAGGGACATTTGACAATGCCTGCAGACACTTTAGCTTGTTACAACTTTTGAGAATTACTGGCTACTGATGGGCAGAAGCCAGTGATGCGCTTTAGCATCCTGCAGTGTGCGGGACAGCTTCTCACAACAAATAATTATATGGCCCAAATTGTCAGTAGCGCCAAGATTGAGAAATCCTGCATATAGCTCTCCTGAAGTTTTCTACTTGATGTTTATGTCTTGCTGTCACCCAGTATCATTTTGCTGGGTGTGCTCTGTCCCATTTATATTCATCTCCCAACCACTGTCCGTATCTTTCTCCATCAAAATTTGTCTCTTTTTTTCTAATTTATTAATCGAGATATGATTTTCCACTTTCTCCATCTCTTGTCTGTCTTCTCATAAATTTAACCAGCTGTGTGCTAAAACTAGCTTACCCTGGTTCATGTGGATTTTGTGTATCTCTTCCCAGTTCTGCATTCGGTAATATCACCTTGGTGGCTTGAAATTGGACAGGGTGGTAGTAGTTATCCCATGGAAATGTAAACGCTATAAATCAGGGCTCCCCATCCTCCCACCCCGGAAGTAGCATACCATTGAATTAACCTTATAGACTGCCTTCTCTCAAAAACAGCTTTGGAAAGAAAACATTCGTGCAGAATGATGTGTTTTATTAGGTGAATTCAAGTGAGGATATTGTGAAAGTTTCAGCAGCCATGGCCTAGTTTGTCTAACATGTAGACAAGTGTTTGTAAAGCAGTAATATCCATATCTTCATTATCTATTTTTTCCCAATTTTGGAGTTTAGTTATTGTTTCTAGATCCTCTTTTGAATATCTTCAATGGAAAACTGATGGACCTATCTTTATACACATCCTTACAGGAAGCGGTTTGACAGGGCTGAAGCAGAGTATATTGCAGCAAAGCTAGATCTACAGCGCAAGACTGAGATAAAAGAGCAACTCACTGAACACCTTTGTACAATCATACAGCAAAATGAGCTCCGAAAGGCCAAGAAGTTGGAGGAGTTGATGCAACAACTAGATGTACAAGCTGATGAAGAGACTCTGGAGCTTGAGGTGGAGGTAGAGAGATTGCTACATGAACAAGAAGTAGAAGCAAGGAAACCAGTGGTTCATTTAGAGAGGCCATTTCAGCCTGCTGAGGAGAGTGTGACTTTCGAATTTGCAAAAGAGAACAAAAAGTGTCAAGAACAAGCTGTTTCCCCAAAGGTAGATGAACAGTGTGGAAATTCCAATAGCATCCCCTTTCATAGTCCAAACTGCCCAAATCAAGAAGGTAATGACATTTCAGCTGCTTTGGCCACATGAAGGTCTGGTATTCTTTTGAACTAATATGGTATTCAGTAAAGTATACTTTTTGCAGTAGATTATGCCCTCACCTCCAATAAAAACCTCTTTAAAACAATGCTGATTTTTGAATTCATGATTAGTTTTAGTAAATTAGTATGTTTGGCCATTCTAAAATCCAAAATTATGATAAGTTTATTTCTAGGGGTGTATTTCACCTTGATTTTGGCCCAGTTCTTTCAGTGTTCCATTACCCTTTTTACTGAATTAAAGTTAAGTGACTTAAAAGGATGGAAGAAAAACTACATGGTTGGAGTGTTTTTAGACCAGATAAATATAGAAAAGTAAAATGGAAAATGATACTCAATACCTAGTTGAACGCATTTCACTTCTCCTGGGAGATGTATTAAGACTGGAAGTCCTATTTTATTTAATCAGTAAAAAGACAAAAATTACAGTGTGAAAAAGAGAAAGACAGGAATCGAAGAAAAAAGTTGCAGGTTGAATTATCTATCTGGATATTACTAGAGTTGTAAAACTTGGAAATTGGAATTTATGTGAAGAACCAGACAACTGAAGCCAGGATCACTTTTGTCTTCAATTTACCTTCAAATGGTTTTAGTTTACAACCTGCGTTTTGTTATTTGACACACACACACGTATATATAAACATACATGTAATTTTACTATTATATTGTCTTTAATCGATGAATTGATTAAATTTAGACAATTAAAACATTTCTAAAGTGAGGCTGAAAATAATATAGAAAATCTCATTGCTACTTGTGATGATCAAAAAAGGATGTATTTTCTTTCTAAAGTTATCTATAAATATGTGTTTGATATGTTGGACATGAATTACTCTGTCATGAAGCATTTAAAAGCTGATTTTCTTGTTAGTTTGTTAATTACCTGTTACTAGTATTTGACCAATACATTGTGCTGTATGTAAATGTGTAAATAAATATTGTAATTTTCTCACAGAGTCTGTGAGTATCACATTAAATTATGATTTATTTACCAGAAATTCCAAAAAGTCAAAATATTACCTTTGAGGACTTAAAAAAAACAAAACAAAACAAAAAAAACAATTATTATCAGAGAACATAAGCACAAATATAAGATTGTATCCATAAAAGTTTCTGAAAAACTTAGGGACGTCCTGTTTTTAAATGGGTTTGTTTGAGGGTATTATCTTCTGGTAATAATACAGATGAGCTTTATATTTTTATATTACGTAATTTGAGTTGAAAGTATAACATTTCATTACTGACTTCTCTAAAGCATTTCTATAGATAGTTGTGCTTTTATTTATGAATGACATACATAAAAGCCAAAAGTTTCATTGTCTAACACACTTCTTTTTCTAAGGAATAAACAAGTCTGATGTACTCACAGTGTCTTTCATTTACCTTAAAAAAATTTCTAACAGTTTAGTATGTGTTAAGCATTGTGTGACAATAATGCATCTTGGATCTCCTTGTGGTACATACAGTTATTTACTTTTGTTAAGCCTCTGTTAAGGAAAACTGATTATCAATGAGGTTTTATAATATTGGTTAAATGCAGATATGTGCAATCTTAATTCTCAGTCTGAACACTTCAAAGATATATGAAGAAATGAGAACCATAAAAAAAAATAAGTTAGAGGAGACCTCAGATAATCTAATTTAATCTTGTTTTTTTTGTTTTTTGGTTTTTGTTTTGAGACGGACTCTCACTCTGCTGCCCAGGTTGGAGTGCAGTGGCACGATCTCAGCTCACTGCAACCTCCGCTTCCCGGGTTCAAGCAATTCTTCCTCAGCCCCCTGAGTAGCTGGGATTACAGGCGCCTGCCACCACGCCTGGCTAATTTTTGTATTTTTAGTAGGGACGAAGCTTCACCGTGTTGGCCAGGCTGGTCTCAAACTCCTGACCTTAGGTGATCCACCTCAGCCTCCCAAAGTGCTGGGATTACAGGCGTGAGCCCCTGCTCCCAGCCTCATTTTATTTTATAGTGAGAAATTTGAGAGCCCAAGATTTCAGTAGCAGCTTATTGGCCAGCTGGCTCATTTGAAATTTAAAGTGCTAGTAAAGTTGCTGTTCCGTATTCCAGATGTGTCACTTACATATTTCAGGCTGTGAAGTTCACTGCACTGCATCCTTCCACTTGCAAATTTTGGTTTATAACCTGTTGAGGAGGAGTGTGTGTGTGCGTGTGTGTGTGTGTGTGTGTGAGAGAGAGAGAAGTGCTTTCAAATGTGGCTATAAAAGGTCGACTGAACCCATTATTTTGAAAAATGTTATCTTGCTTGGCTTTCCTAGGGTGGTATGAGAGTGCTCAGGTGATGATATAAGTGACAAAATCATATTGCATCAGTTTTATACAAAGGCAGCTGTATCCCATCTGTGGGAGGAACAAGAGCAAATGAATGAGAAGTGAGGGTTCATTGGTATGAAGACCATATGCACTGGCTTTTCTGGGATCACCCTGACATAGACATGTTTAAAATACAGTACGTTTGAAAGGGTTTGATATATAAATTCACAAATACACAATAATTGTTAATTTCTGTGAAGGAAATTACTGGTTCAAAATTACTGCCATGAGTTTATTGCACTACTTTATAGAGCTGTCCCTCCTGGGGTTAAACTTCTCTCCTTGCTTCCACTTCTCAAATTCTTAGAGCTAAGGTGTGGATTCTTAATGATGTGAAAAGTAATCTAGGGACCACCTACTTTGTGTTATCTCACTTGTTCTATTTAAAAGATAATCTTTACCAAATTGTAGTAATTCTCACTTAAAGTATACATTTACTTGGGTAAACTTAAATTCCTGAATTGAAGGGTTTTTATACTTTGATTTTCTATTCCTTTCTTTAGGGCCATTTTGGGGGGGTTTCAGAGAAGCAAAATTTGTTAAAGCACAGTCTTCATTGCACTTAAATAAAAACTTGAGTTTTTCACCTCTGCATAGTTCTGCTAAATTACAGCACTTGCAGGTGGTAAATCTTTGTATTCACTGAGGACAGCTGGTTTCCAAGTCATGATAATCTCTTACTGGAATTCCTACAGCGTATTTCATTGCTGGATTGGCATTTGAATTACAGAGTAAAAATTCAGCTATAAGCTTTTCATTCTGGGTTTGCATTTAGCAACATAGTACTCTCAAGGAACTTATCTTAAGTATTCAGCAACTTCCTCTTCGTGGCATTGGCACAAAATGGACTCAAGTTATTCTGACCCCGGCCATTCCCAGTGACCTTTATAAATGATGTTTTGAGTTTATTTATATTTCTAAGGAGCCAAGTAAGCCTTTTAAAAGGCCCTGATAGATGTAACTCAGTCTGCCAGGCAAGACCTGGGGCCACTCTGGATCAGGGTAATTATACCCTTTCTCAACATAGATCTATCCTAGGCCTGATCTGAACTATTCTCTGGCGGGATGAAGCAGGACACTGTTCTCCAATCTGGCTTTATCTTAATGTCAGGCTATTTTTGCAAGCTCCTAATCCCAAACAGCTGTCTTGAAAATACAATATCATTTATTTATGCAATTGATCAAACAACTGAGTAGAGCTATCTATAGGGACAGAGCTATGTAAGAGGCATATGATCTCTGCCTTTTGTTCTTGAGAAGCTTATACTCTAATTGAAGTAATAGGATTCACATTCATAAAACAGGCTGATATGAAACAATGTCTTAATGGAAAGCAAAATAAGTGATTGGAACACTGAACATGGATGTATCCTCCAGAAGTCCCAAATTTGTAGAACACTCTTAACTTTATTCTATCCAGTTTTGCAGTCTATGCATGTGCCTAGGACCTGCCATATCTTTCAGTTCGCCTTTAGTACTACAAAGCAACACATATACAACCAAGCACTTTGGGAGGCCGAAGTGGGCAAATGACTTGAGCTCAGGAATTCAAGACCAGCCTGGACAATGTGGCAAAACCCCAGCTCTACCAAAAATACAAAAACTTAGCCAAATATGATGGTATGCACTTGTGTTCCCAGCTACTTGGGAGGCTGGGGTGGGAGGATCAATTGAGCCTGGGAGGCAGAGGTTGCAGTGAGCCAAAATCATGCCGCTGCACTCCAGCCTGGGCAACACAGTGAGACCATGTCAAAAAAAGAAAAGGAAAAAAAAAAGACAATATGTGCAGATTTTGAGTTTTTAAAGCACAGTCCCCAGGACAAGAGTGAATCGGAAAGAGGGAAGCTTTTTCCCTGTCACTGATTTAAAATAGGGGACCCATTGGAATTCATCAGTGCAAAACTCCATCAGGCATTGGGAAAAACTACTTTAAGAACAGACCTTTCTGACTGAGGGTTGATGGTATCTCTTTAGATGAAAAATAGCTTAAATGTTAGAGCTCATTACAATTACTCAAGGTGGTGTGAACCAAGGGGCAGTTAAGTATTGCCTGAGTCAGAACAAGATGTAAATGGAACAGACAATGTGAGCTCAAGGATAACTCAACATGGAGGCTTGTTCAAAGATCACACATAAGGGAGGTCTTTCCAAGCCAAATGATTCCAGGAGCCTAAAATAGAACCATAATTAAGCAATAAGAAGTGACAGGGATAACATTTCTTAGTGATTATAGCATGCCTCAAGGGATAAGTCACTAGGCCAAAGGTTCAGATGAGGAGTGAAGTAAACCTGTAATGTCTAGTGTCACTGCTGTTAGAGGGAGAATGAGAAGGAAATGAATAATTGGAGTTAGAAGAGTCATTTCATGAGCCATTATTTCAGTTGTTGGGTAATATTACCATGTGTATAGTACATGTGGCCATTAGTTGTATCCAGCATTCTGAAGCTGTGTATTTATGCCAGAGCTTTCACTAAATTTAAAACTGTAGAATTAACTATTTCATATCTGTAACCAAGCAAAAAACCAGGCAGTTCAGACACAAACTTGAAAATCAGTAGCCCTAAATATGGAAGTACAGTCTGGTAGAATTATGATTACAGTCGCTTAGCTCTGAAGCATGTTGGATCATTTCCCATACTGTGGTTCATTCACCTCATGTACATTTCCCTCAGAAATTACCAGTAGGCTTGACTCCAGTGTCAGAGCCAGAAGCATCTTGAACTTTCTAGTCTGAGCTTTTCCTCCCCTACCACTATGCTGTTGGTGGAAGAGAGGGAGGACCCTAGAACTAGTGATCAACTACACCGCACACTATGGTGGTGACAAGTCTTTCACCAGGATGAGAGATGAGATGCCCAGTAGCCATAAGATGGGGCGAGACATACCCAGCTCTGACAGAGACCCTGGAAAGCCCTGCAGATAGAAGCAGGTGTGTTATTGCTATATTCCTCTCCGTGTTTCTGTCTGATCACTTCAGAAGATACGAAACAAAGAGGGCAAGGTCTCCTGTGGTCCTACTAGTCTCCCATGGCACAAGACAGGTCTGTATTCTTAACAAAAGTCTAGGCAAACAATGGCTTCTCTTAGCCTAAGCCCTCTTTCAAGGGACCAGTGCTCTTTCTTTCAAAATACGCTCTTTGGAGAAGATCTGAAGACAGTTACTTGAATCTTGGGAAAATTTTAAGTTAGTAGATTACTTCTCAAGAATGTTTGCATTTTAATACAATGGAATATTTTAAAGTAATGTATTTTAATTTGTGTAGTATAACTCTTAGCCCCCAACTAAAGAAATGCCAAGCATCAGAGAGCAGGTGAGAGAACTGGGGAATGGTGGTGTACCTGGAGAGGACTTGAGGACATCCTGAAATCATATCCTACTGCATGGGCTGAGAAATGAGTTCCTGAAGCCTTTGCCTGTGCTATGATAATCTCCATTTGAGGAAAATGACCCCAACCTGTCCTTTTCCTATTGCTGGTGCAACATGCTAGTAGAGAAGGGAAACTAACTCTGCCATTCTAGGCACATATATATGTTGTTTATGGCTGCATAACAAACCACTGCATAACTTAGTGTCTTGAAACAATAACCACTTTTATTTGCTCAGAGTTCTATGGGTCAGCAA